TTCCCTGTTCATCTTCCTGGTATACAGCATTCTCCAGCTGGGTATGTTTGCTTTTTAGCCTTAAAAATCAATATGTGTAAACTCTCACTGGCATCCAGCTATTGTAGTAAACAGTTAAGGGAAAGGGAGGCTTCTAACATCTGAGAGGAAACTGTAATCTGAGACGGTGCAAATAGTGCCTAAGGCTGAGCCTTGGCCCTCGTCCTGTGCAAGCGGAGGGTCAGTGCCTCTTTTAAAGTCTAGTGGAAGTAAAGGATCCAGCGCCTGCCATGGTGGTTTATTTCTGTGTATTAGATCCTGCAAATGCTTGAGAAATGTTTTCTTTTGTTCTCCCTGAACAAAATGTGGGGAAATTAGAAATTTGCCTGGAGATCACACAGAGTTCATATCCTGCAATGTGTCTTAATGTCCTCCAGTAGAAAACAGTTCTTCTATAGCCTTTTGTCAAGAATACCTTCCAGACTTTCAGCCTTTTACAATTTAAAGAGCTTTTTTATTTGTGTTACCTTGTTTGATTCTCACAACAACCTTGCTCAGTAGTATTTTTATCATCCTCACCTTTTATGTAGAGTATTGCAGTAGCCTTCAAACTTTTCCAGTTTCTCTCACATCCAATCTGTTCTCCTACTATGCCTCCCAAATTTTCTTTCTAGAGCACCATTTTGATCAGTTTACACACTGCTATGGTTTGAATGTCCCCTCCAAAACTCATGTTGAAATTTAATTGCCAATGTAACAGTATTGGGAGGTAGGGCCTTTAAGAGGTGATTAGGGCATGAGGGCTCCACCCTCATCAATGGATTAATGCCATCATCACAGGAGTGGGTTAGTTATTATGGGAGTGGGCCTCTGATAAAAGGACAAATTTAACCCTTATCTTGTCTCTGTCTCACATGCTCACTTCCAGATGTCATTGCCATGCTCTTGGACTTCCCAGCCTCTAGAATTGTGAGACAAATAAACTGCTTTCCTTCATAAATTACCCACTTTGTGCTGTTCATTATAGCAACAGAAAATGAACAAAGACAAATACTTTGGCTAGCCTCCCCCATCCTCTGCTGACATATACACCCCAAAAACTACAGTGTAAATTCTGGTCTTTAGTGTGACAAGAAACATCCTTTGGTTCTCAGAGTACCCTGAAGCCACATTTCTCTTTCTTTCTCCCCTAAAGCTACAATATGCTAAATATCTCTATGATCTGCAGATAGTTCACTTACTTTATCCCTTATGGTCATAAAAACATACGTGTTGATAACAGAGACCCTGGAGTCAGACTGCCTGAGTTGCTGTCCTTCCTCCACCACTTCATCGATGTGTAAAGTCAGATAAGTCACTTAAGCCCTTTTGGTCTCATCAGTAAAATGAGGGTTACTATAGGACATTCTCTCAGGACGGATCATGAGAGATAAGTAAGTTAATTGATACAGTGTGCTTAAAATAGTGCCTCGCATAATTACTGCCCAATAAAAGTAGCTGTTATTGTTGTACCCTCTGTTGCAATGCTCTTCTCTTTTATGTACAACTACTACATCTCTATTTATCCTTTAATGGTCTCCTTTGTGAAAACCACTTCAAATTCCAAAGCTTGCATTTATTCTTCATCCTCAATGCTTCCTGAAATTTTAAATATACAAGTTTATAACAATGGCACTCAATCTAGAGTTTTTCAGTTATTTAAAAGTCTTCAACATTAGAGTGTGAGCTCCTGAAAAGCACAAACCATTTCCGATTCCTATTTAGGTCAGCAGAGCCTAGCAGAACATCTGGTACATCATGTCCAATAAATATTTGTGAAGTAATTCTCCATTTTGCAATGTAGAAAGTGATGAACCAGGATTCAAAGTGCTAACTCTGCTTACTGGTTTCCCTGCTTTCACAGTCCTGCCCACCCACCTCAATCCATTCTCCCACAACAGTCAGAATGATTGGGTCAGTCCCTTCAGTGGATTTCCACTGCACTTTGATAAAGTCCAGCATCTTGACCACAGCCACAGATAATTGCAGGATCTAGCTTCTGCCTTTCCATCTCAATTTTATGCTATGCTGCCCTTGTTCCCAATTCTCTAGCCATGCTGGCCCCTTTTTCTTCTTTCCCACTTTAGATAAAGAACATTTTCACTGCCCTTACTTATTTGTAATACTATTTCCTAGGCTTCCTGCATTGCTCTTCCTTCTCATGCATCAAATCTCATTTCAGATACCACCTCTCCTTTCCTGACTACCTTGGCTAAATAAGCCCTTTGCCATCCAGTTACTCTGTCACATCACCTGCCTATTTTCTTCATGGTATAGGTCAAAATCTGGAATTGTCTTACTTGTGAATTTTCTAATTCCTTCCACTGGGATGGAAACTCCACTAGGGTAGAGATCTTGTCTGCTTTTTTATGCTAAATGCAACTCTTCAGACAATACCTGGCATAGAGTAGGTGCTCAAAGATATGTCTTCAACAAATGAATAAATAAAAAATAGATCTTTTGAGAGCAAAGCTCTTCCACACTACCAGAATCATCCAAGAATGACAAGTCATAGAATAATACAATTGAATGCTTTGTGCATATCAGAGAAAGAAGGTGGAAAGTTGTCAAGGTATCATGATGTACCAGTCCTCGCCTCCTCAAATACAATTAGCAAGTCCTGTAGTGAAAAATAAGTTAGGAATCTTTTCCAAACTTTCTTTAAAAGTGTTAAAACTCCTAAGAAAGCAAGAAATGATAGTCTAGGAAGTAAATGAATGAATATGAAATGCCCGATCAGAGCTATGGGCTAACCACAAAGTTCAAAAGACCTGGTTTTAATAGAGAACCAGTGTAGTGGAGTCTGCAGCAGATCCTGCTTTCATGGAGCAAGAGAAAATTGGACAGAGTGAGTGCTCTTTGAGTAAAATGTATAAAGTTAATATCAGGTTATTATCTACTGTGTGTAGTCTAACAATAAAATTTATTTGCCTACCACTTTGCAGTTTAGAAATACCTCTATTTACACAGTTGATCTCATTTGATAAAACAGTTGAGTTGCAAGATAGCATAGTGGAAAATTCACTTAAACCTGGTATCAGAAAGCGTGGGACTGGACCCAGCTCTATTAGTAAGAAGCTGTGACCTTGGCAAGTCACTTTCCCTCTCTGGGCTTCTGTATCCTGTCTGGTAAAATGAGGGTGTTAGACTAGATGGTATTTAAAGTTCCATTCAGCTCATCTATTGCAGCAATTTATATTTAACTCATGACAAATCAGGTTTCTCTTGTTCTATGTCCAAGAAATAAAGTTCTTATTGTGGAATATTAGGCATCAGTAAATCTTTTTGGGTCTTCACTCATGTTCCTAAAATCAAATTATTTGAGGCACCACTCTCTTGGGTGCCAAGGTAAACAAAGAAGGCCTTGGTCCATATTTGAGCGTTCTTATCTCCCTTTTAATTAGGCTCTCCTTTTAAACACCAATTTTGACTGGCTCTTCTCCCTGGATCTTCCTTCCTTGGTCTGAAGGTCTCTCTCATTTCACACTGCACTGCAGTTCTTTCCACACCCCCTCCAAGGACAGCTACCAATTTTCATTTGTTCTATGTTATAACTCAAGGAAAAGTTGCCCCATAGCAATCTAAAAAATGTTTTTCTGTCTTCCTGGGAGAAGGCTAGAGACGTTTTCCTATAACTTAAATGCATCTTCTGAAGATTATGGTCCCTCCACCCTTTTATATGTGTCTGCTATGTCCTTGCTCTGCTAGCCAAAGAAGGAGCAGGGGGCACAGTGTGGGATATTCAGGGGTATGTATGGGGCAGGGCACATATATGGCAAATCTTTTTACCTTTTTTCCTTCTATATTCTCACTATTTTTGCTTCTCACTGGAACCCATCTATTTTTCATCTTCTCCACCTAAACCTTTTGATGCCTCTGTTTCTTATATGTAAAGTACAGCTTACTATACAACCTATGATCAGGAGCATATCTGCTCGCAAGATAAAAGCTGTTTGGTCAGACATCATAATTAATTTCCTCTCTTCACTTGTAGCTTTCCTACATGAAGAAGATCCCTCTGTAACTCTGGTGTGGGTATCCATGCTACGACTGTAAGATTGCAACATCTAAGTGATTCCTTGAAATATTCAGTTCATGATATTATATGCAAAAGATACTAACTGTCCAAGTGTGGAGAAGTACCTAAAGGGCTGAATACTCTTACATTCATTCTGCAAGGCAAACTACGTATTTTTCTGCCTTCTTTCTCTCTCACTCTCTCTCCCTTACATATATATTTCTGTTTTAAAACACCAGTTTGGAGATTTAGAAGTACATAGGATATAAGCCCATTTGCTGATAAGAATTATTGTATGTAAGTGTTCATCTTCTCCCTCCTCTGGTTCTCAAGCTGCTGTTTTAGGCTTTTTGCAGGAGGCAGGCATGTACAAGAGAGATTGCCAGTGCTAGCTGAATTCTGTTCTTTGTTCTTTGTAAGATTTTTCGAAAAGAATTCCACAGTCAGGTTGATTACAGACATAGCGAATCTGTTTTCCTAGGCTAGTTTTTCTATGCTGCTGGGCATGTAACTGTCTGCAATCTAGCTATTTCTCTCCACAGCCCTGTTTGCATGACAACCAAGACGACAACTTCTGCAAATCACTGCCTGGAAACAATGATCCTACCAACTCCTTTTTGGAAATATTGAGGATCAGATCTTATACCATGTATGACAGGATGTTTCTAATGCAAAAGAGGAAGGGCACTGGGAGTCAGCCCCAGAGTAGCCCTGAAACTCCCAGTGGCACTTTTCCTTCCAAGAGGCAAGTTTCCTTGATACTGTTTTTACAGACAAATGAATAAACCCTGTATTTTGCAACACTGTGCTCTTTTTTTCTTTGTTTTCTAGAAATTCGAAACCTCAGACATTGGTAGAGACATTAAATACTTTTTTGCCCCTGTATGTCTCCTCTGCGAGATTTTTTCCGCTTGTTTGCTTTACATTGCTGATGCGTCAGACCTTTCTTTCTCATCTCTTCCAGGCGCTAGAGAGGCAGAGGGAGACCCAGGAGCCGCTCCTGCAGCGCTGCCATCTGATTGGCTGGACGGCCCTTGCTGGGCTATAAAAGCGAACTCTACGGGCTTGGGAGGGAGACGCTCAGAGGATTCTGACAGCATCTTTACCGGAGAAAAGGCAAAGTGCGCTCAAAACAGAAGCCACAGCTCCTCCTACAGCATTTCTTTCCTACTTGCGAATTCCGAACTGTTGACAAGATGTGCAAAGGACTAGCGGGTCTGCCAGCTTCTTGCTTGAGGAGGTGAGATTGTTTCCAGCCACTAAGTATGCTAAATTTTTGGACAGACTTTCTCTGTTACTTACATGTTGTACTTACTAACCTAGTAATTTGGAATTTGGAAAAATGTGGTTGGGAGAGCACCACCTTCCTAGCTTTCCTCTAAGACTAGCTAGATATTGTGACTTAAGCACTGTGCTCCCTAAATTCCGGTACCTATGTGTTGTTTTGCATGACTTTAGTTTTGAGAACTGTCCTGATCTTTAAGCCAAGTCTTCTAACCAAACTATTTCTAATTAAGAAGTGATATGAGGTTTGGGGCTGTACATAGTGGTCTGTAATACTTCTATCTGTGATTACTGTTAATATTTGAGCATTGCTGCAGTACGTAGAATCATGGCTCTGTGCTTTCTGATAATAAACTAGATCTTGTTTGGGGGAAGATACCCCACAATGAAGTTTAGTTACATCGTCAGAAAGGCGCTATGCTTTCTACGTGGGGCTGCAGTATCTTTCGCGCTCCATGTTCTTGGAAGCAAATGTTACAATAATATGTGAGTTTCAAAGCTAGATGTCTCTTATCTCTCTGCCCCCACCTCTAGTTCTTGAAATGTCTTATGTGAGTATTGGATGAGAAGTATTGATCACGACAAATCAGTAAGGATTCTGTGGAAGATCTCATCCTAAAGACATTGTTTTGTCAGTACACTCTCTTGACTGAAAAAAGACCTTAAATCTTAGCTACTCATCTGTCTTTGGCTTTTTAAAAAAGGAATAAATAAATGCTTTCAGAGAATGTTCATATATTAGCCAGCTGAAAATAAAATACACAACTAATGCATGTTACTCAATCTTGCAGTTAAAGGTAAAGTCAATCCAAAGTTGTTCCACTCCACCTTCTTTCCTGACTCCCTGCAAATAGAAATCACTTTAAATTTCAATTTAGAAATAATCCCAGAAAGCATGGTCTTTTGTGTGTTACTAAGAAGTTTGCCTTTCGAATATTTTGTCATTCAGAAATATGAAAGTATTGATGGCTTCTTGAAAATGGAGCAGGAGGATCTGGCAGAGAGTACCTATGAAATAAGTACCTCTCACCTGCACCATTAATTTCCTGAACTGGATGGAGAAAATCCAAGTTTCAGTTAACTTATATATACAAGTAACCATACAAATTACAAGCGTGCCAGAAGGAAGTTATGCTCTGGTAAATATTTTGGGAGCTCACTTGAGGAGGTAAACTCTATGTCAGAGGTGGTGATCAGCTCTTCCCTTTCCTCAAGGATAAATCATAAATCATCTAGTCCAACACCTTCACCATCAGTGCCTGGGGCTCCAGAGCCACCCTTGACTGTTCAAGGTCATATTGGTGCTGGGTGGCACAATGACAACCAAATCCAGGTTTCCTGACTCATGACCTCTGAAGTCATTTTGGTTTTTATTTTTATGCTGTCTTGTTTTGTAAGTATATTTCCTAATCATACTTCCAATTCTTCATGAAATGGCTCTGCATTGGTCAATAACTGTCAGATCTCGGGCAGAGCTGGCACACGGAAATACAAAATAGTTTTTGTTTGGACGGAATCGTAATGCACTTATTCATCACCTTAGAATCACCCTAGCCTTCGTGATTATATCTTGCAATCACCAAGGACAGTTTTGAATCCTCTGACCAGTCACCAGCTGGGAAGCAGGGGAGAGAAACAGTCCTGTGTGGGAGAGAAAATACTACTTAAGGGGCAGTCCAAGATCATAATGGAATTTAAACTTCCTGGGAAAACCCACATAGATAAGCTGTATTCATAATCATCCTAAAATGTCTTGTTATCCTTGGGGTTTTATTTCTCACCCTCCAAATAGATGCATCTAGTTTTTCTTTTCTTTTTAAATGGCATCAAAATAAAAAAAAAAAGATTTCTTGGCTTTTATAATAAAACAGATACAAGCAAAAGAATAATTAATAATGAGTGAGAGTGTTGATCTAAAAGCTTATTAAAAGGTTCTCCTTTTCGAGTTAGGACCCCTGCTGTACCCAGGCTTCCCATTAAAGCAAGGCAATGAGCTGGAAGCTCTGCTCTAATTAAACCATCACTAGCTTCAGCGATGACTCTAGCTTCCTTCTCTTTATTGTTTCTAAGCCTCAAATACCCTTTATAGGGTATATAACCTTATAGTGTAGATATTAAAAAGGAAGGAGCAGAGGCAGGAGATTGAAAACAAGCATAAAGGAGCTCAGGTTTCAGCCTGAGCATTTGCATGCACCACCCCATTTTCCTCTGCTCTCTGCTGGAGCTGCACCCTTCAGTGTATACTCCGTGTATACCCTATTACATGAATTGCTTGGCCCACCACATACCTGGATGGAACTGAGTAAACTTTTCCTGTCCTGAGGGGCTTCTACAGCGCCCCCTCTGCGGCAGCGAGATAGATGGAAATAGCAAGCACCTGCCAGCAGGTGGCGCGCAGCAAGAAGGTGCCACGTTTGCAGTTACTGCTTGCTTTCCAGTTCCTAAAAATTACTCACTGAACAGTCATGTTTTCAGAGTGGTCCTATTGAAGATACCAAAGGTATTTCATTGGTCAAAATAACGGACATACAGAAGAGGTTTCTGAGGTAGACTGCAAGGTCAGAATTCCAGTTTCAGGTAGAGGAACCAGTGCGATCACTCTGGCCTCAAGGTTTTGTAGTAAGTCACAGGCAGAGGAAGAGGAATCTTGTTTTCCTGAGAGCTCATGCCGACTCCAACTCCCATTCCCATTCCCTAAACAAACTGCCTCTGCCCCACGGACTAGTAATGAACTCTTCAAGCACTACCACTAGGGGGTCTTTTAAAGAGACCTGGCTAACATTGTTAATTCTCACTTTTCCTTTTTTGTGCAGTGCAAAAGATATGAAACATCGGCTAGGTTTCCTGCTGCAGAAGTCTGATTCCTGCGAACACAATTCTTCCCACAGCAAGAAGGACAAACTGGTTATTTGCCAGAGGTAAGAGAAAAGGCCTTGGTGAAGATCCGTTGAGTGTTAACTACCTGAATGGCAGAAATGTTCTATCAGGAAAAAAAGGAAGTTATACCCCTAGTTAAGCTAGATTTAGATCAAGGTGGCTTCCACTTTCATGGAGATCATAGTTACGTTTGAAATCTCCATATATTCAGTGAAAAAACTGCCCTAATCAACAATAGATCTCATCCTAATAATGGGAAATAAAACTTCTGCATTTTATTTAGAATCTTGTACTTCTTATCCAATTTTGTATCATGGCACTCAGATTATTCTTTTTCTCTGTAATGTCTCTAGGGTGAGCCAAGAGGAAGTCAAGAAATGGGCTGAATCACTGGAAAACCTGATTAGCCATGAATGTAAGTCTGACAGGTTTTTATTTCTCTCTTCCTCTGGGATAAGGATAAAGACACTCTGGATAAGACAAGTTATCTCATATTATGCTGGTCTAATGGGAACTGCAGAAAGGTCTGAGTTCCTTCTGACTTTTAAATCCAGGAGAACCTTCTGGTCTTATATCCAGTCTGATTAAAATTTACCATTTCCTAGAGCTTTGGGATATACAATGGAAAGTTCATAAAGGAACCATGTGGAAAACTCTCTCTCCCATCACATGGAAAAAGGGCAGAGAAAAAAATTTTGAATGTTAAGATCTTGCAGAATCACCTCAGTTTTTCTTTCCCAAACCCATGTTGACAATGGATAACTCAATAGGCATTTCAGAAACAAAACAGTTTCCTGAATGAGGCTTCAACCTTGAGTAAGAATCACTAGGTGTGACTGAGATCCACCAAACATAGATTAAGGTTACCTGAACCCCAAGTTACCATCCAAAAAGAAAGTCAACAGGGAACTACTTGAACCCATGCTTAATTTCCCAAGTACTTCAGCTTTATCTGAAATACAATATCCAAGAGGCCGGCCAGTGTGATGACAACTGGTTCTTTCTCCTTTATCACAGGTGGGCTGGCAGCTTTCAAAGCTTTCTTGAAGTCTGAATACAGTGAGGAGAACATTGACTTCTGGATCAGCTGTGAAGAGTACAAGAAAATCAAATCACCGTCCAAACTAAGTCCCAAGGCCAAAAAGATTTATAATGAATTCATCTCAGTCCAGGCAACCAAAGAGGTAGGTGTTCATGGCAGAGAACTCTGTGGAACTTAGTGAAGATTCCTAGAAGTGGTTTTCGATGGCATGGATCTTTAGATCATGTGAGTTAAGCAAAATGTGTAACAGAGGAGCAGGCTATTTTAATCTTGCAACCTCAAATAAATCAGTTGAGAAAATAGCTTTTCTATCCATGTGACTTAGATGACCTCTCAATGAATTTTCCTGGTGAATCTCCCCAATTTGTGAGAAAGGATGGGAGATAGTGCCCTGACCACCCTGAAGTGGAATGAGTCTTTTATACTCTCTAACATGTGCAAGGGTGGAGCCAAATGTCCTTTTTTTATTCTTGGGATATGGAGTGTGTACAGTCACTTATTATCCAGTACAACGCACATAGCTTCTCATCCTCAACAGGGTTATGAGTGTAATGGAGCCTTGTCCTTTGTCCCTCAGGTAAATCTGGATTCTTGTACCAGGGAGGAGACAAGCAGGAACATGCTAGAGCCTACGATAACCTGCTTTGATGAGGCCCAGAAGAAGATTTTCAATCTTATGGAGAAGGATTCATACCGCCGCTTCCTCAAGTCCCGATTTTATCTTGATTTGGCCAGCCCTTCCAGTTGTGGGTCAGAGAAGCAGAAAGGAGCCAAGAATTCTGCAGACTGTGCTTCTCCAGTCCCCCAGTGTGCCTAATTCTGACTCAGAGGCAAGAGCTGAAATACTAAGACTCTATGCTCTGGAAAACCTGAGGCCAAATATTGATCTGTATTAAGCTCCAGTGCTTTATCCACATTGTAGTCTAGTATTCATGCTGCCTGCCATGTGTGAGACTTCCATGTAAAAACTAGATTTAGTTTTGGTGTCTGGGTGTTCATCAGGGTGGGACCCCAATCCAGTTCAATTTTCCCACATTTCTCTTAGGGTGCCATGTGAGCAAGTATCCACATAATGGCCTTGTAGATCTGGGTTTTCAAAGATTGCTGGCAGTTCTCTCCTCTCAATGGTTTGATCTTAGGTTGGTTGGTTGGTACACTTCATGTGACATCCACATGCATGTGTATTCTGTTAGCCAGCATTTTCTCTGGACTCTAGAGATGTTTAGATGAGGTTGATTTATGATATGTACGTGTAGAATGTATGTATATATTATATATATACACACACATATGCATACACATATATGTATATGTGTGTCTATGTATACATTGCGTGCACACACACACACACATTTCTGCAAGAGTGGATGGGAAAGACCCTAGGTGCTTATAACTAGAGTGTGTGTATGTACTCACATGCATGTTCTGATCTCTGGTTTTTCACACTGTGATTAAATAGGCCAAACTGAACTAACTGCCATGCAGGCTGAGAAAGGAATGCTAACTTGTGGAAAGTTGGCTGTGTAAATCCCGTGGGTCTTGCTAGAGAAACAACCAACAGACTTCATGCTTAATTTAACCACTGACATCACTGAGTACTATTCTAAGGAGTAAATACCATAAAGAAGCATACACCTGGCTGACACAGAGCTGTACTGGGCTGGTTATCACTCAACGGCACTTTCGAGTCCCTAAGCTGCTGGCCTCTCTGTCTTTGCCTGGGTGCTCAGGGCAAGCTTATTTGCAGCTGGGTTGGTGTAGAGTTGGGAGATGGGAGGCTTGAGCTGAGTGAAGAAATGTAGTTAAGACCTTGCTAGCTACACCCATCAGTCATTGGCTGAGCACAGAATTTAAGGTTATTATTCTTACCATTTATCCTTTTTTCCTCTCCTGATCAAGGTGCTTTTGTCATTTGTTTTTCCCTTGAGAACCTTGGCCATCAGATGAGGCTCCTCAGCTCATCATTGGTTGGTGGTTTTTTTCCCCGTACTGGCTGTAGGTTATATGCTACATTTCTAAACCAGAAGCAGAGGGGAAAGATTATATTTTATAGGGGGGAAACAATTTTCACAAATTGAAAAGCTCTCATAAGTTTTTTCTTTCAAGGAAGAACCTTGTTCACTTTATCCCAAACATTAGGGCAAACAGAGACATGAATGCACTTCTTTCGAGGCTGAGACTAAATGAGAGGGAAAAGAAAGAAAGAGAAAGAAGGGATTCCAATTGTTAGAACGACTGTTTGCAACTTTTCAAGGTACATGAAATACTTGAAAATTTTTCATTTTTGTTATTTATGATTTTTTTGTACAATGTTTTTATTATTGTATTGTTTTTAAATGGAGGTGCAGGATATCACCCGAATTATTCATGAATGCCCAGGAAGTAATTCTCATTCTTTGAAAACTACTGCCTTTGAAAGTGCACACATACGCACACTGCATCCATTGCTCCAGTATAAATTACATGCATGAGCACCTTTGTGGCTTTTAAGCCAATGTGCTGGGCTGCAAAATGAAGACACTGGAGTGTCCGTACAAGTCCTATGGTATGAAAGATGTAGGTTTTCTAATTGTACTTTTTTCATTTCTGAGAGTTTTACTCATAATCTCCCCAGAGTTCCTCATCGGTGTCCCTTTCTGTTATACATAGTTTCACAATTTTGTCTCTAGTTGACTCCAAACATATAAATCTATTGGTCTTGCCCTATTATAATTGTCACGACATTCAGATTGTATCTGTACTCACAGACTGCTGTCTCACAAATGAGTCTGGAAGGTCATTCTGAATGAGAAGTAAATTATTTTATGTAATATAGTTTTGAGTGTGTTTTTCAGTTGTATTTTCCTGTTATTTTATCACCATACGATAATATGAGCTTACCTGCTCCTGGTCCGTGGACACAATACTCCCTCTAGATACACGCCTGTTTTTATCATGTGCTTTATAGGTCTCAAAGCTGATACTTCCAGTGAATCACACTCATCTTATTAAAAGGGTAAATAAATGCTTCATACAAAATTATCTGCTTGGAAACACATTAATGATTCACAGAGACATGTTATGAGAAACAACAGGGTATAGAGTGACTTTAGAAAATGACTCATAGCAGGTCTTTCATCCCTCCCATGCCAACAAACTCTGGGAAAGAAAGCAGAAATTGAATACTGTTGATTCTTCAGTTCCTGCCACAGCTCGGCCTGCCTCTGCTCACAGAACCAAGGCAGGCTTGGCTTCAGAGACTTTGCTCTACAGATTTAGAGTTTGCTTGCAGGTCCTCAATAGGTTTTCAAGGGATAGGGTTGACCCTCCAGTGCAGCTCTTCTTCTACTTCCAGTTTCCTGCCTGATTGAGGGGAGATGGAGCAGTGACACATCAAGGGATTGAAGGAGGTATAGACCTCGGGGAGGGAGATTCCTGCCCAAATTGCTCAAAATCTTTTCCTCACTGTTGCTGATTCTCTTGCCTGGAAAAGAGGTCACAGAACACTGACAGCCGCAGTCATGGGCACTGTGTCTGTTTTGTTATGAAATGCCCCATTTCCTGAATTCTTCCTTTTGCATTGTAAGAGTCACGTTTACAAGGTGTTAGGAACAGAAGTTATAGATCCTTTTAAGGATCTGCTGAAAACTACAGATCATCTCCTGGGAAAAATACACCAAGGAATCCAAATTTCTCATAAAGGTTTAGAGGAAATTTTTCAGTCACCTTTCAAACACGCAAGACTATCATTCCTCTCTTTCATTATAGGTGTGTCAGACTCTCACAGAGAGCATGCACTTACTGCTCCCTGTATGTAACAGTGTCTTCCAAGGATTGCAGGGCAATTTAAAGTCAACGCTATTAGCAAGTGTAAGCAGTGTTCTTTTCTCCAGTCTCTACCTCCCTCATCCTTTCTTTCTTCCTTATAGTTGGCCATTAAAGAGGTAACAAATATGTGCTGTCTCTTTTTCTGAAGGTGATATATACCAAGGCCCATGTTTTGAAAAACACTTATTGCTTTCTATGTGCCAAGTACTGTCCTAAGTACTTCATGTAAATAGCACACTTAATTCTCAGAACAAACCTAAGATATAAATGCCAATCATAAGCTTTGCCTCTGCAGATTTTTACAGACGAGGGAACTGAGGCACAGAGAAGTAACTTGCCAAGGCCAAACTGCCCTCAAGTAGCAGAGCTAGGACTTGAACTGAGGCAGCCTTACCTCCAGAGAGCACGGCAGAGATGTGCAGTGATCACCAAATACCCACATGTCAATGGACAAGAGCAGAGTGTCACTTTCAGACCTATGTAGTCAAGAATAGGGCCCCAATACATTCTTTATCTTTCTCTTCTCCTTCTGTGGCAACTTGGGAGTTATGTGTTCCAGATGGTGCAGCTACAGAATGGAGAAGGGTTTTATGACCAACTTCAGAATATGAAGTTAATAAAAAAAGAAATCATTGCTAATTTAAGTAATTTTTTGTAGGTTTGTCTGGTACTGCAGCAAAATATTTCTTACTCTGAGTAATGTGTGGACTGTGCTCTTAGCCCTTGTACCACACTGTTGCCATTTGTTTGTGTGTGGAGCAGACACTAGGGTACAACCTAAGAGGACTCATTCACATTAATAGCTGTTTGAAAACAAAAGTGACTTCGTTGGGAGATACTCCACAACCCAAGATGCCTCAGGCTATGTTCTGGCACTCCATATTATTAGTGCCTAGGTTTTTAAAGTTAGAAATAAGATGATAGAAAAATGAAAGAGGAGGAAAGAGGAAAGAAAATAAATTTTAAAAAAGAACTATCTTCAAGGGTTTGTCCAGGCCAAACATATGGACAAAAAAATCATCACAGAAAGCCAATCAAATAAATTGGCTCATGTGACCAGACAGACTCAAAAGCACAGTATAAAAACTAAACAGCTCTATTCATTTAATTCAGAAGCTAAATTCAAAACATAAATCTGCTTAGGTCATTAAACTCCGAGATGATCAACTAAATTACCTGTTTTAGTATGCATTCTTTGCTTCTTTAACATTTGAGGTCACATGGAAATGTAACATGAGAAAGAAAAATACTGGGTTTTTTCCTTTTTATGATACAGAATAGAGGAAAAATTGGGTTAGATAACTTAGTCAGGATTCATTTGGAATTAGAATTTTTTAAAAAAATTGCACATGCAAAGAGATAACTGGGTGAGCTGGGGTCAACGGCTGCACTATTTCTCAGGCATACGGGTGGAGGTGAAAAATGTCTGGAGAGAGAATTTGGTTTCTAAAAATGACTTAAATTTCATAGTAGTATCTTATGTTTATGTCACATGTTTTAAGTGCCAAGTCTATGCTGAGTGCTGCACATTATCTTATTTAACCCCTAGAACAAAACTCCAAAGTAGATGGTATTAATATCTTTCCATTGTAGATGGAAAACTTTGATATAGGAGAGTTCAGAAATTTACCCAAGATCATGTATCAAAGAAGTGGTAGAGCTTGGGTCAAACCCAGAAATGTATCCCCAGAGTCCACGTTTGATCACTGTAGCCAAGAAAGAAGAAATGAGAGAAGAAAAGGAAGAAGGAACCAAAGCAAGCAAGGAAAAAATAAGTGGAAGTGGAGAGAAGGGATAAAAAGATAGAAAGAATAGAGAAAAGAGGGGAAGGGGAGAAGAGAAACACAAGAAAAAATATGGAAGAAAAGAATGTAAAAGAGAAGAAGAAAAGGAAATAGAGATGCTTGTTGTGACGAAGGAAAGAATGTCAAACACTCATCAGTCCTCCTGTCATAAGTTGGCTGTGCCCATCCTAGAGCACGTTGCTACCATAGGGATGTCTTCATGTCCTGCCCAGGATGGGGCAGGTGGCAAGTCTCCCAAAACTAGTGAAAATTGAGTTTTGGAAGCAAGGGATAGATAACAAGGCCAGGTTTCTCTCTAAGAATCACTTTTCTGTTTCCTTTCCTTTCTCCAAATTTGCCAGATTCTGAACTATTTGCAGAATTGACGTTCTCTTTTTTTTTTAATACCTCAAAAAAGAAGAAAAAAGAATAAGAGGGAATACTGCAGGTCTCCTTGATTTGTTTACCACTGCATGGGGAGGCATTGCACAGGGAACCCAAGACATTTAGCCAGTGTAGGAATCACGTGCAACCAGGACCCCAGCTAGAAACAGGCATTTGGCACATGGTCCCGGTTACATCACTCCTGCCTTCCCTCTGGGAGGGAAGATGGCAGTGACCACAGGGCCTGGGTTAAAAGGAATTGTCCCCCAACCCCCAAGACAGCACAGGAGTCTGGTCAAGGCAGCAATGTGCACGAATTAGTCATGAATTAGACCGTGGGGAATAGTGAGTGGTGACCTCTTGAGAGTGCATCTGCAGGGCTGACTTTGGGGGCATTTCTTCTGAAGCAGGTAAAACAAGGTAAAACAAGAGTTTTGTTGGCTTTTTCAGGTATCATTTGTGAAATTCCCAGATTACTCATTAATCCATTTGGACTTTCTGGAGCCGTCATCTCCCAGAACAGTATATCCCTGAGGCATCTGTTGAACAACAAATTGTGGGAAACGAATTCTAGTTAAGTCTCAGTCTAGTTCAAGACAAGGCCTGTTCATGTTTTCTTTTACCACCATGCCGAGAAGATCTGCCCTCCTTCTCCTCTTCCTGGTTCTCCTCTGTATGACTTTGTATGTTTGCTACCCTTGCTATCTAGCTAATATTTTCATGACTTTGAAGTGTTAGAAAGAACAACTGTCAAGACTGTTGGCAAATTCCAGATCAAATGTTGTTCTTTCTTCTCTGTTTTCCACCTTGGTGAAGGCCTGACCTTAAATGGAATCACTCCAACTAGAAACCACAGGGTCATCCCAGTTCCTCTTGTGTCTCTGTCACTGTCGAAGTCTGTGTTCCATGACTCTCCTTTATCTAGCTAACTCCTACTCTTTATTTTCAACTCTACTCATGACCTACCCACATTAGGAAGCCTCCCCCACTTTCTGGCATAAATAAATGTTCCTCTGTGGGGTTTCCTTAATACTCTGGTGTGCTTTTATTGTTACTACCACAACGTCCTATAACCACTAATTTATGTGTGTCTCCCAAACTACACTGCCGATTCCTCAAGGTTGTAAACCATGTTCATTTGATTTTATAATCCCTGCACCAAGGGAGTAGCCTAGTACAAATTCGATGACTATTTGTTGACTGAGTGACTGACATTAGTTTTACCTGCTCCTGGATAGGAAGCCAGCCAGCCAGCTTCTCACACTTCTTAAGTGCTTACTGTATACTCAGTGTTGATGTGACATAATGCTTTCAGAGTTTACTACTTTTTGCTATATTCCTCTTGGAGAATACAAGGATGTTTCTCCCAGCTTTGTGCTGGGAGCTGAGAGTAAAATAATCAGAGTAAGGAAGATCTGGTTGGAGCCACTTTACAGAAAAAAGATTTTAAAGAATAAGTCACAAGAGTGCAGTGTGTTCATATATCTATTTTGTACATATAATTAATGTTTACATATAGTTTATATAATTATGTGTATATATAACTAAAATTGTTATGCTCCTTTATATGCACAACCTTCTAATTTCTATCCATTGCATACAAGTGCTGACATTTATTGTTTACTCTCTACTAATACCATTCTATTTGTACAAACTGATTCAGTACATGTAACAACCCTGTGATGAAGGGGCACTAAAGTTTATCACCTCCCTTTTACAGGTAAGAACCTAAGGCATGGAGAGGCAAGGACCTTGCCCCAAATCATGCAGCTTATACACAAAGAAGTCAGAACCTGGCCCTAAAGCAGTGTGGCCCCAGAGCCCGTACTCTTTGCGATGCTGCATCTCACAGAAGACCAGAGTTCTGTCCATATTACCACCACTCAGAAAATGAGCGAGCAGATTAACTGACTCTTTCCTCCAAAAACATTTCTCTGAAAGTGTCTTCTGCTCATCTTGTACCACACTCATTTCTTGGTATGCTCCTATTTTTGTTCATGTCCTGTATTTCTTGTAAATCTTATACAGCTTGCTTCAGACTAT